CGAACCCGTGTCTCCTGCATCGGCAGGCGGACTCTCAACCACTGCGCCGCCAGGGAAGCCCCTGCCTTTTCTGATTTAGAATTTAATCTATCTTTGGCTTCATAGAAAAACAATATAAAAGACATTCATTTAAAGAATATTTCTGCATCACTTGTGGAGTTGTAGTGAATGGGGATAATAATAGTGCCTAGCTCATAGGATGATTGTAAAGTTGCAATGAATCAATGATTAGAAATTATTAGTACGGTGCTTTGATGTTGTAAGTGGTTAGAACAAGTTAGCTATTACATTCTTGTTATGTAACATGTTAGCAAAACCTTTTTTAAAAATATGGAAGTCATTTTATATGTTTCTGATAAAAATTTTAAAAAATTACTTTGCCAAACGTTTATATGCTTTCTTTGTGCCAGGTAAAGAAAACTGTGTAAACCAGTATGTTTACCATTTTATTTGGCTGCTAGGAAGCTCAGAGCAAAATTTAATACTCAGTTTGTCATTAATCTTTTAAGAATCTCTGGCACAGCAATATTTACCCCCTTAAATCAAAATATTCTTTGAAAAATACTGGTCTGTTTTGTATTATTATTTTTTTTATTGTAGTATAATTGCTTTACAATGTTATATTAGTTTCTGTTGTACAATGTACTGAATCAACTATATGTATACATATATCCCCTCCCTCTTGTATCTCCCTACCCCCATCCCACCCATCTAGGTCATCCCAGAGCACCGGGCCGAGCTCCCTGTGCTATACAGCAGGTTCCCACTAGCTATCTGTTTTACACATGTTTTACACGTGGTAGTGTGTTTATGTCAAACCTTATCTCCCAGTTCATCCCACCCGCCCCTTCCCCTGCTGTGTCCACACGTTTGTTCTCTACATCTGTGTTTCTTTTCCTGCCCTGCAAATAGGTTCATCTGTATCAGTTTTCTAGATTCCACATGTTTGCATTAATATTGTTTTGTATTATTAATATGACAAATGTTGGAGTACTGAAGATTTTTTATAGATTTAATATAGGTAATGACACAGATGGTTGTATGACAGAGCATTCTTTTAAGTTTCTTTTCAGACAAGTAGTGGCAGTATTCCATTAGAAATCTAAGACACAGCATAATTTCCTCCTAATATGACATTGAGTTTACCCTCTAATTCTATGTCTTTGGTGTATGTCAGCTTTGAGAGAGAGGGAGAGGGGAGGAGGATAGATTTTTTTTATGTGTGTGCTTGTTGTTAATAAGTTTCTTATGAGATAAGCATCTCTAACCATAGATTTTTTTCTTTATCAGAGACCTCATTGATCACAAGACTCCTGTGTAGTTACCAATTGCAGTGTTGTTTTTTCCTTTGTGTAGATACATTTTTCCATCAGTATCATTTTCCTTCCATCTTATGGACTTTAACATTTCTTAGAGTGCAGAAATACTGGTGAGAATTTTTTCAGCTTTTGTATGTATATGTAAGAAATGGTGTTTAAAGGTATTTCTGCTGAGTATTGAATTCTAGATTGACACTTTTTTCCCCTAATACTTTAAAGATGTTGTTCTTCTGTCTTCTCACTTATATGTCACATAAGAAATTTGTTGTTAGCTTTATCTTTGTTCTCTTTATTTAGTGTGTCTTTTTTTCTTGTCAGCTCTTAAGATTTTTTCTTTATTGCTTTTCAGTAATTTGATTGACCTGCCTTTGCACATTTCTTCATGTTTCTGGTGCTTGAGGTTTAATGAGCTTCTTGAGTCTGTGGGTTTATAGTTTTCATCAAATTTGGAAAAATTTTAGATATTTTATCTCAATATTTTTTTCTGCCTCCTATTTGATTTCCTTTGGGGACTCTGCTATTAGGCCACTGAAAGTTCTCCCATAACTCACTGATATTCTGTTTCTTTGTTTATTTTTTTTTTTTATTTTTTTTTTTTCTTGCGTTATGCGGGCCT